CAGGCGCACACGTACGTGGGTCTTCGTGCCTGGAAAGCAAGTGGCGGCCGAGAGTATCCGTTGTAAACCCACTAAGATTCGTTCTGTGCTTTAGGTCGTCGCTGCTTTTGTCACTAGTGATAGTCATTTAGGCTAGTATTCAGGGGTAGTATATGAGGCAGGGATTGACGCCCTGGTGTCGACTCCTGAGCTTAGGACAACACAAAAAGAAACCCTGAGCCTAAACCTTCCTAAACCCAAAGGGTCCAAGTTATAGTATGGTATATACTTTGGGGGCCCAAATACCTACAAAGTAGCTACCATATTACTACTTGGACCCTTTGGGAAACCCTAAACCTTAAACTCGGGAACCCTGATCTTCGGTTTTGAGGGTTTGTTAGCCCATGGCCTCACGCGGTGGATCCGAAGGTTGGTCTACATCTACAATCCACGAGCTACGGCTTGGGGGTTTTAGGTTTAGGGTTTATGGTTATTTAGGGTTTAGGGCTTCAGGGAGCGACTGTCAGGGCTTTGTTTTTTACGGTTTAGGGCTTCAAGGATCGAAGGTTTATGGCGGTTCACGGCCTGGGGGTGACGGGAATCCTTAATGTAAAGGTTTAGGATTCTAAGTTTGGTTGAGGTGAGGCTTCAGTCTTGAGGGTTAACGTAAGGATCCGCAATAGACGACCAAACCTAGGGGCCTTAGCGCCATATGGGGGTTTCGGAAATTGATAGTACCCCAGAATAGTAGGATCCTTATTATAAGGACCCCAAAATATGATAGCCCTAATGATCAGAAATTCCCATATTACGATCCACAGTACCATATGGGCGCACCCTGAGTTGGCTCTACAGCGAGGCTTGCATCCGTGGCGAAGCTGCTGCTGAAGCACGGCGTGTCGGTCCAGAAGGTGGGAGGAAGCTTGCAATTTCAGGGTGTTTGCCGTGCGGGTTTAGGCTGTGTTGGTGTTGTAAACCTGCGTGTGTTGAAGTCGTGTTTTGAGCGTTAGTCATGTCATCTTGATGTCCATGGAGGGCAGAGGTCTTCAATCAGGATCGGTTACTCGCAGCACCCTAAACCCTAAACCCT